GTGAAGCAACTAAGCTTGATAATTGTGGCGGAACTACGTTATTAAACTTAGGGAAAACATTCGATCAAAGCAACACAAGCAGACAACTTGGTTGTTAAGATTAATGAATTTATCTAGATCTTAAGGCTGCCATTAGATTAAATCATTAGTGCGGACACTGTGATTATTTGTTGGTTAGGGCTAGTTATACGGCGGATCCGTTAATTAACCAAAGTTAAGAAAAGATAAAAATTCAGAATATAAACTGGAGTTTCGTTTCAAGGATCGGTTCTGATTTCTGTAGGTGGATGTGTGCTTGTGACCAAGGTTTGTTTTCTTGATAAATTTCAGTTTTAATTGATTGTGTTCACTAGTTTAATTTCTTCCATATTTTAGATTATCACAAATCAAAACCCCCCAATTGCATAACGTATAGCATAAAAATCTGAACTAAATCTTCCTCGTGGGATCGATCCCTTGCTTGCTCTATACTATCTAGTATGATTTAAGTGTAAGGGTAATTAATTTGTGCGACCGCGACATCGCAACAAATTTTGTACCGAAATTGAGTTGTCTGCATCGAATTTGTGATTTGCTATTGAAACTAAGTCTTCTGCAGCGAATTAGCATTCGCTACCGAATTGTGTGTTCTGCAGCGAGATTGTGATTTGCTGCCAAAACTGTGTCAGTTGTAGCGAATTAGCATTTACTGCCAAAACTGAGTTGTCTGTAGCGAAGTTGTGATCCGCTGCCAAAACTTAGTCTTCTGTAGTAAATTAGCTTTCGCTGTCGAATTATGTGTTGTGTGGTGAAATTATGATTCATTGCCGAAACTGAGTTGTCTGCAGCGAATTCGTGATCCACTACCGAAACTGAGTCTTCTCTAGCGAATTAGCATTCGCTAGAGAATTGTGTGTTTTGCAGTGAAATTATGACTCACTGCCAAAACTGTGTTGGCTGCAGCAAATTAGCTTTCACTACTGAAACTAAGTTGTCTGCAATGAATTTGTGATTCGCTGCCAAATTGTGTCTTCTGTAGTGAAATTATGACTCACTACCAAAACTGTGTTGGCTGCAGCAAATTAGCTTTCCCTGCCGAAACTGAGTTGTCTGCAGCAAATTTGTGATTTACTGTCGAAACTAAGTCTTCTACAGTGAATTAGCATTTGCTACCAAATTGTGTGTTCTGTAGCGAAATTGTGATTCGCTGCTGAAAGTGAGTTATCTGCAGTGAATTTGTGATTCGCTGCCAAAACTGAGTCTTCTGTAGTGAATTAGCATTCTCTGCCGAATTGTGTGTTCTACAACAAAATTGTGATTCGCTGCCAAAACTATGTTGTCTGCAGCAAATTAACATTAGCTGCCAAGTGGTGTGTTTTGCAGCGAACTTGCGATTCGCTGCCATAGTGGAGTTGTCTACAACGAATCACTACCGAAGTTGAGTTGTCTATAGCAAATTAGCATTTGCTATTGAATTTCATGTTCTAAAGAAAATTTGTGATTCGCTACTGAAGTTGAGTTGGCTACAGTGAAATTTATGATTCACTACCAAAACTGATATATCTGTTACAGCTTAGCATTTGCTGTAGAAATTATGGCGCCAGCAGCAAAACAGTTTTCATTGCCGAATTAGCCACCTGCAATAAACCAGTTTTTGCAGCCAAATTGGCAGCCTGCAGCAAACTAGTTCTTGTTCTCAAATTGGCAGCCTATAGCAAACCAATTCTCACTACCGATTTCTACCATAAGCCTCCTAGGCAGAAATGACTTAAATGCTAGTACAATTTCATGGTATGATGGTGTAAAATGTGGAACACTTGAATGTGAACATATGAACTCTTGAAATAAGTGTAGTGGCAAATGTGATTCAAAAATACAAATGTATTGATTTGTGATCATTGATGTCTTAGGTGGTGTGGTCGGGATTGGACCATCCTTACGACAAGAACAACCCATAGGTGGAGCATGTAGGTGACTTCCACCTTCCTTTTTCATACATTAAATAATGGGATACTTTATCATGAATGTTACTATATTGTGTTAGAACATATATCAAATTGTCAAACATTTAAATGTTGATAAATGGTTGATTAGCTTTGGCTAATGGCATCCGAATGGATGCCTAGGACAAATGATTGATTAGCCTTGGCTAATGGCATCCGAATGGATGACCCAGACAAACGATTGATTAGCCTCAGCTAATGGCATCCTAAGGGATGATCGGGGCAAACGACTGATTAGTCCTGGCTAATGGCATTCGAAGGGATGACCGGGGCAAATGACTGGCTAATGGCATTCGAAGGGATGACTGGGGCAAACGACTGATTGGCCTCGACTAATGGCATCCGAATGGATGACCCAGACAAACGATTGATTAGCCTCAGCTAATGGCATCCTAAGGGATGATCGGGGCAAACGACTGATTGGCCTCGGCTAATTGCATCCGAATGGATGCCCAGGACAAATGATTGATGAGCCTTGGCTATTAGTATCTGAATGAATGACAAAGACAATGATTGATTAACTTCGGCTAAAGGCATCCGATTGGATGACCAGGACAAAAGATTGATTAGCCTTGGCTAATGGCATCCGAATGGATAACCAGGACAAATGATTTATTAGCCTTAGCTATTGGTATCTGAATGGATAAATGATTGATTAGCTTTGGTTAAAGGCATCCGATTGGATGATCGTGACAACGGTTGATTAACTTTCGTTCATGGCATCCGAAGTGGATGATTAGGGTGAGTGAATGATTAACCTCAGCAAATGATGCCTTAAGTGGATAGTCGGGTTTGAGATTATGGTTGATTGCAAGAATTGGTGTGTCTATATGTACTATAAGTTCTTTATATCAAGTACATGAAGAAACTGTAAATATCATGCTTCAAACATGGGATAATGTTATTGCTTCATTTAACTGCAAGACCATTTAATTATTGACACGACTAAAAGATTGATGTCTTCTCCCAAGTGCAAGAGTGTCGAAGTAATAAATAACCCGGCAAGACCGGGGTCGAACCACAGGGAGGTTATTTGTACAAATTATAAATAACAATAATACAACAATACAACATAAATCAAGATTAGTTATTTAACAAGCAAAGTATTAAAGAGTGAACAAGATAACAAATATAAAACATGTTAGTATCAAACATTAAAGTCCATATTAAGTTTACATTATACTTATTCTTACACCATTAGTGTAACCTTTTCACCTTGACATAATTAACTTAGCTAGACATAATGAAAGAAAGCAAAATAGATAAACAAAATAAGAACATAAAAGTTAACTAAGTAAAGGAAAGGAAATGAAAGGCATAAACTTAATATTAATGAAAACAAAGCATAAAAAATACAAAGAGAGAAAGGAAGAGCATGATCTTGATCTGGACACCAAGATGCCTAAATGCATGGCAAATGCCTCCTTTTATAGGCCAAAAATGGGAACTATTGATTTGATGACTAATTGATAAGTGGGTGGCCAACTTTTGACTTGGTGACAATCTTTATCTTCTCTTGTCTGCCCAAAACGTCATTGATAACGTCAAAACTGGAGCCAGTTGCAAACATGAAAGTTGTAGGCAATTGTCTCAGCTTTCTTGTGTAAAACATTCAGCTCATTTGGACTTCTAGAACTCCAGATATGGCCAAAATACCGAACAGTGCTCGGGCTGGAAGACAGATTCGGGCTTCTTTGTTGTTGCTACAATTTGGACTTGATAATGGCCTTTTTAGATCTTGGGCTCCATATGAAAGTTGTAGGCCTATGTCTTACCTTTCCATCCATATAAATTGGACCTAAATCTGAGATATATAGCTCTAGATATGACCCAATTACCGAACAGTGTTCCGGTTTGGATTGCACCGACATCTCTTTTCTAAGTTTGGCCATCTCTTTATCCTTGCAATTTAAGTTCTTCAAGTCATCAATCAATCCTTTTATTTATGTGATAGGCCTCAATTTAAAATGAACATTTACCTTAAATTAAAGGTATCTTATATTATTAGATACGTTATTATAAAACATGCTTTAGTTAAGGAGTTATTGATACTTCAAGTGCAAAATGATGATATAAAACCTTGATAAAAATACACTTTTAAGTATCAATCAATTATCATTATTATTATTAAGTAATTGAATTCTTTTAAATTTTTTGTATCGAAGTAAGGACGTCGCATCAACAAGATGCCTAGGAAACCCAATACACAGGAACCTACTTTTGAAAGGAATCATGAAGTTGCATCCTAAAGCACGATGTATTTTGTATAAATCAATGTACTAAATGTATAACTTTTACTGAAATTTATTTAAATTTATGATGACTATTAGTAGGATAGGAATGCAAACTCATGTCTATATATGTATATTTTTCATGTGAACTTCTAATCCTGCAAACATGATATTAGGTGTTTTTGAAAGATTTACTTTTAAATGAAATGTTGATTGTTGTTGATGTATGGATTGCATCTTGATGATGTGAGGAAACAAGTTCACCAATTTCCGACACGATGTGTGTCAAGTATATATATATATATATAACTTACTGTTGTTTGGGGCTTGAAAAGTCGTGTTGTTACAGTTGGTATCAAAGCACTTGGCCTGGATCCTAAGGATCACTGCTAATTATGTTGTTGTGGTGAATTTCAAGATGGTACATACTGACAAGGGACAAGAACTGAGCCGCCCTCCTTAGAAAGAAGGGGCGGGAACCAAGGTGCCCAAGGTTGGCAAGATGAAGATCCTTTAGATGATACGACATCTTATGCTCCAATAATACCACCCGAAACCTTGTAGGGGGAAGCCGCAGTAGTGGGGGAAGGTTAGAGGCCTAACCTGACAGAGGAAGTACCCCCAGTTGTAGTAGAGCAGCAAGAAAGATCAGAACCTGACAGAGGAAGTACCCCCAGTTGTAGCAGAGCAGCAAGAAAGATTAGAAGCACAACCGTCAACTATTCCAACTAGTATGCCCCCATAATATATAGACACGAGACTCATTGTACAAATAGTTAAAGTAGTGATGGAGGGCATGGCTGGTTTGGCAACACAAACAACTCCTACCATGCAGATTCCACAAGCAACCCCTATGACTAGCACGACCATAGATAATGTGTTGCTACTAGTGCAACTAGTTAAAAGTATGAGGGAAATGGGTTATGAACCATATATAAGGGAACAAGATACAGAGATAACTGAGAGATGGATTAGGAAGGTAGAAAAGATCATGATTCAAATAAGCACACTTGAGGGTTTGAGGGTAAATTGTGCAACCCGATTATTGTCTGATAGGGCCATGACTTGGTGGGAAAAAGTTCAGTTGAGGCAAGCAACCGAGACACTAACTTGGAGTGATTGCAAGACAGAGTTTGAGAATTAGTTTTATTCCAGGTACCATCGCAAGGTGAAAGAACAAGAGTTCTTAGCATTAAGACAGGGTGATATGTCGATATTGGAGTACGAAAAGAGGTTCCATGATCTCTCATTGTTCACCCCACGCTATGTGTCGATAGAGGATTTAGAATTTGAGAGATGGTTTACGATAGGATTTGAGACAAGGATGGATCACCTTGCAGTTTAAATCTGTGAGAGAGTTGATTGAGGTTGCCCAAGCTCTAGAGGCTTGTATTGGAGAAAGCTAAGGGGGACATCAGGGTATAGGCAAAAAGAGAGATGGGGACTATTTCAGTGGCAAACCACCACTCCTAAAGAAAGGAAAAAGTGTAGTGTTTGAGTAGTACAGGAAAAGAGGAAGTTTGATGTTACCGCCCTACCAATAGTCAAGTGGGAGAGTGATGGTTGAACAGTCGCACTCGAGGGCAAACTCTTCAACTGGAACCGGTGACCATAAGGGTGCTAACTATCCTTTATATATAAAATATGGACAAAAAAACCCTAAGGACTACTCAGTTTCCCCTAGGCGATGCTTTATGTGTAGAGGAGAAGGTCATAGGTGGAGGAACTACTAGTATCTGAGTCAAAGGTGTCATTATTATGGTGGAAGAGGTCATTATAAGAGAGACTGCCCCAAAAGGAACACTGGATAGGTGCAGAGCTATAGGCAACCCAGTCAAAGCCACCAACAGTCAGTCACCGTAAATAGGCCAGTGAGATCTTCTCAATCAGGTGCAAACTCCAGCCGAGGGAGACTGAGGGCACAAAATGATCGAACCCCGGGAAGGGTCTTCCACCTGACACAGGAAGAGGTTAGGGTTGCATCAGATGTGGTGGAAGGTACACTATTATTGAATGATTTTAATGTGCATGTGTTCTTTGATCCGGGTGCCACCCACTCATTCATTGCTAAGAGAATTGTCACTAAACTGAGATAGGGAGTAGAAATAGTAAAGAAGGGGTTCGTAATTGGAACTCCAATGGGAAACATGGTTGAAACAAATGTTGTGTATATAGATGTGGGGGTTAGTCTATCTGGGTATGAAATAGAAGTAGACTTGATTCCCTTAAAGCTACATGATTTTGACATAATCCTAGGCATGAATTGGTTGAGTAAATACAAGGCTTCAATATATTGTTATGCTAAAACCATTACTTTCCAAACATGTAAGGGCAAGAGAATGATTTTTGAAGGAGAGAGAATTCTTAAACCAATTGCCTTAATGTCGGTGGTGACAGCCCAAAAACTTTTAAGAAAGGGATGTAGGGGATACCTCGCATACATCTTAAACTCTGATGATGAAGGTCCACGACTAAAGGATATTCCTATGGTGAAGGAATTTCCAGATGTATTTCCCGAAGAACTACCAGAACCACCCCCAGAGAGAGAGGTAGAGGTGTCTATAGACACTTTTCCTAGAGTCCTACCCATAGCCCAACAACCGTATCGGATGGCTCTAGCAGAACTGAAAGAGTTAAAGACTCAACTACAGGAATTGTTAGACAAAGGGTTCATACGGCCCAATAATTCTTCTTGAGGAGCATCAGTCCTATTTGTAAGAAAGAAAGATGGAACCCATAAACTTTGTATTGACTATCTAAAGTTAAGCAAAATAACGATGAAAAACAAGTATCTGTTACCTCAGATAAATGATTTGTTTGATCAATTAAAGGGAGCGAGGGCATTTTTGAAGATAGAATTGAGATTAGGGTACTATCAGATGAAGATTAAAGAAGCGGATGTAGCAAAGATCGCATTTCAAACTCGTTATGGACACTATGAATATTTGGTGCTACCGTTCGGGTTGACGAACGCCCCAACCATCTTCATGGACTTGATGAATCGGGATTTCCAACCATATCTAGATAAATTTATGGTGGTATTCATTGATGATATATGACACGATGAAAAGATTGTTGTCTTCTCCCAAGTGCAGGAGTGTCGAAGTAATAAATAACCCGGCAAGACCGGGGTCGAACCACAAGGACGTTATTTGTACAAATTATAAATAACAATAATACAACAACAATAACAATAACAATAACAACAATAATAATAATAA